CCCCCCCCCCCCCCCCCCGCTCCCTTCTTGTCTCTATTTTAGAGAGAGAGCAAGTGATCAGGGGAGAGGGCAGAGAGAGGGAGAGAGAATCCCAAGCAGGTTCTGCCCTGCCAGGACAAAGCTGGATTCGGGGCTTGATCCCATGACCCTGGGATCATTACCGAGCTGAAATCAAGAGGCAGACACTCAACCAACTGAGTCACCCAGGTGCCCCTCTATATTTCCCTTTCTATTCTTCATTTCTAATTTTTAACAACCAAGGATAAATTTTTTTAAAAATAAAATTGTATATATATTTAAGGTGTACCACATGATTTGACGTACATACACATAGTGAAATAATTGTTGCAGTCAAGCTAATTAACATATTATCTCCTCACAGTTACCACTTTTTGTGTGTGTGAAGAAAGCACTTGAAATCTATTCTTTTAGTGTATTTCCAGTATTCAAGCCAGAATTATTATTTTATTTTATTTTTTATTTATTTATATTGTAATTTACATTCAAGTTAGTTAGCATATAGCACAATAATGATTTCAGGAGTAGAATCCAATCATTCATCCCCTACGTATAACACCCAGTGTTCATCCCAACAAGTGTCTTCCTTGATGCCCCTTGCCCATTTAGCCCATCCCCCCACCCCAACCCCTCCAGCAACCCTCAGTTTGTTCTCTATATTTAAGAGTCTCTTGTGTTTTGTCCCCTCCCGTTTTTATATTGTTTTTGCTTCCCTTCTCTTATGTTCATCTGTTTTGTATCTTAAATTCTACATATGAGTGAAGTCATATGATATTTGTCTTTCTCTTACTAATTTTGCTGAGCATAATACACTCTAGTTCCATCCATGTTGTTGCACATGGCAAGATTTCATTCTTTTTGATTGCCAAGTAACGTTCCATTGTGTGTGTGTGTGTGTGTGTGTGTGTGTGTGTGTGTGTGTGTATACACACACACACACACACACACACACATATATATATGGCACACACACACATATATATATGGCACATCTTCTTTATCCACTCATCTGTTGATGGACATTTGGGTTCTTTCCATACTTTGGCTATGCACTCCTATGAACAGTGGGGTGCATGTGCCCCTTTGAAACAGCACATCTGTGTCCTTTGGATCAATATTCAGCAGAGAAATTGCAGGGTAATAGGGTAATTCTATTTTTAATTTTTTGAGGAACCTCCATACTGTTTTCCAGAGTGGCTGCACCAGTTTGTATTCCCACCAGCATTCCTCTTTTTCCACATCCTCAACATCTGTCATTGCCTGAGTTAAGTTTAGCCATTCTGACAGGTGTGAGGTGGTATCTTATTGTGGTTTTGATTTCTATTTCTCTGATGATGAGTGATGTTGAGCATTTTTTCATGTGTTGGTTGACCATCTGGATGTCTTCTCTGGTGAAGTGTCTATTCATGTCTTTTGCCCATTTCTTCACTGGCTTATTTGTTTTTTGGGGGTTGAGTTTGATAAGTTCTTTATAGATTTTGGATACTAACCCTTTATCTGGATACTAACCCTTTATCTGATATGTCACTTGCAAATATTTTCTCTCATTCTGTCGGTTGCCTTTTAGTTTTGCTGACTGTTTCCTTTGCTGTGCAGAAGTTATTTTGATGAGGTCCCAGTAGCTCATTTTTGCTTTTGTTTCCCTTGCCTCTGGAGACGTGTTGAGTAAGAAGTTGCTGCGGGCAAGATGAAAGAGGTTTTGCCTGCTTTCTCTTCGAGGATTTTGATGGCTTCCTGTCTTACATTGAGGTCTTTCATCTGTTTTGAGTTTATTTTTGTGTATGGTGTAAGAAAGTGGTCCAGGTCCATTCTTCTGCATGTCGCTGTCCAGTTTTCCCAGCACCACTTGCTGAAGAGACTGTCTTTATTCCATTGGATATTCTTTCCTGCTTTGTCAAAGATTAGTTGGCCATACGTTTGTGGGTCCATTTCTGGGTTCTCTATTCTGTTCCATTAATCTGTGTGTCAGTTTTTGTGCCAGTACCATACTGTCTTGATGATAACAGCTTTGTAATTCATCTTGAAGTCCGGAATTATGATGTCTCCAGTTTTGTTTTTCTTTTTCAGGATTGCTTTGGAAATTCAGGATCTTTTCTGGTTCCATACAAATTTTAAGATTGTTTTTTCCAGCTCTGTGAAGAATGCAGGTGTTATTTTGATAGGGATTGCATTGAATATGTAGATTGCTTTGGATAGTATTGACATTTTAACAATATTTGTTCTTCCAATTCTTGAGCATGGAATATTTTTCCTGTTTTTTGTTTTGGTATCTTGTTCAATTTCTTTCATGAGCTTTCTATAGTTTTCAGTGTACAGACTTTTAACCTCTTTGGTTAGATTTATTCCTAGGTATTTTATGGTTTTTGGTGCAATTGTAAATGGGATCAATTCCTTGATTTCTCTTTCTGCTGCTTCCTTATTGGTGTATAGAAATGCAACTAATTTCTGTGCACTAATTTTATATCTTGTGACTTTGCTGAATTCATGGATCAGTTTTAGCTCAGGCCAATATTATTAACTATAGTGATTATGCCTGTGCATTACATCTACATAACTGCAACTATGCAACTGTGCATTCATCCTACATAACTGCAAATTTATGCTCTTTAACCAATGTCTCCCCATTTCTCCCACTCCCCAGTCCTTGGTGACTACTGTTCTACTGTCTGCTTCTATGAATTTGACTTTTTTTTTAGATTCCACCTGTGTGTGAGATCAGACAATACTTGTTTTTCTGTGTCTGGCTTATTTCACTTAGCATAATGCCCTCCAAGTTCGTCCATGTTTTTGCAAGTGGCAGAGTTTCTTTCTTTCTCATGGCTAAATAGTATGACATTCATTCCCTGATGGATATTTGTTGTTTCAATGTTTTGGCTGTTGTGAACAGCGCTGCAAAGAACATGGCAGTGCAGATACCTCTATGAGACCCTGATTTCATTTTTTTAAATTTTTTTAACGTTTATTTATTTTTGAGACAGAGAGAGACAGAGCATGAATGGGGAAGGAGCAGAGAGAGAGGGAGACACAGAATATGAAACAGGCTCCAGGTTCTGAGCCGTCAGCACAGAGCCCAATGCGGGGCTCGAACTCACGGACCGCGAGATCATGACCTGAGCCGAAGTCGGACGCTCAACCGACTGAGCCACCCAGGCGCCCCTGATTGCATTTTTTAAATATACACCCAGAAGTGAGATTGTGGGATCATACGGTAGTTTTATTTTTAATTTTTTGGGGGACCCACCATCCTATCTTCCATCACGACTGTGCCAGTTTACTTCCCTGAAAAGCTAAGAGGAAGTGTCTGGAGAAGAATCAAAGGTATACTGCCTTGTCAACCCTTTTGTTTGGTTGAGTTTCCTTGTCAGAATTTATCATTTATCTGTTTACCTTTTATCGTTACCACTTGACACTCAGACCAGTTTTTTAATTTATTTATTAATTTATTTCTTGATTTAACTTATTTGTTTTAATTAATTTATTTAAATTTAAGTTAGCATACAGTGCAGTATTAGTTTCGAGAGTAGAACTCAATGATTCATCACTTCTGTATAACACCCAGTGCTCATCACAAGTGCCCTGCTTAATGCCCATCACTCACTTAGCGAACCCTAACCCTAACCCTACCCCTAACCCTACCCTGCCTCCCTCCCTCCATCAACTCTCAGTTTGTTCTCTGTATTTAAAAGTCTCTTACGGTTTACCTCCCTCTGTTTTTATCTTACTGTTCCTTCTCTTCCCTTATGTTCATCTGTTGTGTGTCCTAAATTCGACATATGAGTGAAATCATCTGATACTTGTCTTTCTCTGACTGACTTTTTTTCACTTAGTATAATATACTCTGGTTCCATCCACATTGTCTCAAATGGCCAGATTTCATTCTTTTTTATTGCAGACCAGCTTTTTACTTCTGTGCACTTTTTTCTGTGTTGGGGAAGTAGCTTTCCTAATGGAGTATTTAAGGAATAACTAAGATAGTATTTTTAACTTTAAAATATTAGAGGTCAAGGGGTGCATAGGTGACTCAGTTGTTTCAGTGTGGTCAACTCTTGATTTTGGCTCGTCATCTCAGGGTCGTGAGATCGAGCCCTTCATTGGGCTCCATGCTGAACGTGGAACCTGCTTGAGATTCTCTCTCTCTCTCTCTCTCTCTCTCTCCCCCCTCCCCACTTGCATGTGCTCTTTCTCTCTAAAATAAAAAACTACATATGAGAGGGCAACGTACAAATTATTCCTGTAGAAGAATAGTCATGTAAGAGGATTGCTAATCTTCAGTAAATATTCACTGACACTTACTAGTTTGCCAGTCATGTTCCAGGTCCTGGGGATGATGGCAGTAAACCTGATGGGTAGAAGAAAGACTAGCAAAGAGGTGAATGTGCCTGCTCAGGGTGTGCTTTGGGGTCAAGTTGAGGTCCCAGAGACAGCCAGTGCTGTTGGTCTTGTGGGCCATGAGCAGAAGTTTGAATTTTCCTCTAGATTGTTAGGAAGCCATTGGAGGGAAGTTAAAAAAAAGCCAAAAACCTCCAATTTCGGTGTGGAAGATAGACTCATAAGGAGTAAGGACCATGTGTGAGCCAAGATCTATTAGAAGATGCTTTCATTGTTTAGGCAAGAGACGGAGGCAATGGAGCCTGGTGAAATGCATCCACACTAGGGGTGTATTTTGAGATGGGGCTCACAGAATTTACTAGTAGATTGTGTGTGGTATATGAGGGGATTAGAGGAACCAAAGATGATGCTAAGATTTTATGGGCTGACCAATGGGAAGAACGATACTGTTTATTGAGATCTGTTAGAATTTCAGAAAATGTTGCTGATTAATATTATTTAATTCGTAATTATTTATAAGAATGATTATTGGCAGGATTACTCTTAATCTGATTTAGTGGCTCTGTTTTGGTTTAGGGATAAAATTTAAAAAGTTCCTAATAAAAGGATGTAGCTATTGTTCCCAATTTAACGGTTCTCCATACACGATTTCATTTTGTAAAAAGCAAGATGGGGCACCTGGGTGGCTCAGTCTTGGTTAAGCGTCTGACTTCAGCTCAGGTCATGATCTCACGGTTTGTGAGTTCGAGCCCCGCCTTGGGGTCTGTGCTGACAGCTCAGAGTCTGGAGCCTGCTTCGGGTTCTGTGTCTCCTTCTCTCTCTGCCCCTCCCCTGCTCATGCTCTGTTGCTCTCTCTCTCAAAAATAAAGAAAGATTTAAAAAAAGAAGAGCAAGATAAATGGGGTTATAATCTTGTAGGTAAAAAAACAAGGTCTTTATTAACACGCTGCTGTTGTCACTTTGTGATCTATTTGTCTCCCGCGTGTTAGCTTTATTACAGGAAGCTATGATCGGACGTGTAAACTTTGGGATACTGCATCTGGAGAGGAGCTTCATACCCTGGAGGGCCACCGGAATGTGGTTTATGCCATAGCATTCAACAATCCGTATGGGTAAACAGACATTCAGTCATTCACTTCTTCCTCATTAATCCATTAAATCCTTTATTTTCTCGCCATTTATTCATGTCTTCCTCTGGTTGACATGGAACTTGTAGAGGTTGGGTATGATTTCTGTAAGGCAGATAATGAGCTCCAGGTAGCCAAAGAAAAGGCCTTTGCCTTGCGTATTTGAGTAAAAGTTTTTAATGTGTGTCTTTTTTCATGACTGACCACTGTGACTTTTTCCATTCACTAAGCTGTCTCAGTAAATATGTCTCTTTTATGATGGTATTATGATGGCTAGAACACAAGAGTAAATGGCTTGAAAGTTAGAAGAGAAAGGCCAGTGGGATTTCTCTTGGTGGAGGTTCTGAGGATGAGGTGCAACTCCAGCAGAAGCTTGGAGGTGGAAAATAAAGGAGGTGGGAGGGCACCCTGGGGGAGGGCACCCTGCAGCTCCATGGCCTAGGTGGGGCTTTGCCCGGCTTCCCCAGTGCCCCTGGCTCTCTAGTGGATGTTTCCTGGTGAGAATCAGAAGTGGGTGAGCTCAGAGCGTTCTGCGTAGTTTGAACTCTGTTCTGGACGACTGAGTTGTCATGAAGGCTTTGTGTACAAAGGAGGGACGCAATGCAAGTGCCATTTTGGGAGGGCTGTTCTGACAGAGAGAAGGGGTCAGAGGGTTTGGACTGGGATGAAACAGGAGGCAAGGAATTTAGTTAGGAGGCAGATAAAAAGATACATTCATGGGATGATGAGAACAGTCTAGGGTAGGGGCAGGGGCGATAAAGGGAATCCTATCAAAATCTGATGCACTTAAAGTAGAGATTTTATACCATATATGTTAAAAACTTGCTTTGTAGGTTGCTAATGTCATTATATCTTTCTAAGATGTAACACAGTTTAAATCATATCAATTGTGATGGCACAATCACACTTAATTGGTACATTAAAATGATGAAGTATTCCAATTACATTGCCAAAAACTTAACTTTGATGTATGCAGTTTTACATTGTAGAGAATGATAGTTTTTATAACGCCTTATTGCACCAACCTGTGGGAGAGAGATTTAATTGCTATTATAAATGATAATGCTTTACCTCTACTATAATTCCTACTTTACTTGCAGTGTTATTTAAAGGACTTTAACAGTATGTTCTGCATGATATAATATAATATCCTATAATATTATACTTACAAGACAGGATATTTTTGCATATCTATCTTAGAACAAAGTTTTGGGGGGATAGAGAGGGGAGGAACTCTTCATCTTTTGGCCTTTCTATTGGATTCTACCAAGACCCCCTGACAAAAAACTCGCTTGTCCGATTACATAGTCTGATGATTTATGTATGGATTAAAGCAGCCTTTTTCACAGCACTTTGGGACACTGGGGTTTCAGCAGAGTGAGTTCAAGATTCAAGATCGCCACCAAAGAATGAGAAGGTGTGTGTGTGTGTGTGTGTGAGAGAGAGAGAGAGAGAGACAGAGACAGAGACAGAGACAGAGAGACAGAGAGACAGACAGAGATAGAGATAGAAGAATCAGGTTAGTTCTTACATGTTTTATACATTGGGTCAGAAGTAAGCTTTGATTCTATAAAGTAACTCTAAAAACTGTGAAATCAGTGTTATCTTTTATAATGTAGTGGTGAATGGGTGTAGAGAGCAGTGTGTGATCCAACAGGAACTGAGAGAGAAACAGCAGCAACTTGAGACAATATGTCTGAGGGGGAGGAGGGCTGGAAAGTGGAGGGAAGGAACTGACAAAGAGCACACAGTGCTCTCAGCATATATGAGCAGAAGTTGGACATCAGCAGCTAATGAGAAACGCTCAGACCAGATGGGGAGAGAGTTAGTGCAGACTTTGGGTTGACAACCAGCCTTGAGTGTTAGGAAGCTCGAGGTGGGTGGGTGGGTATTCTCCAGAACAGTCTGTCCCTGGAGCATGGAGCATGGACAGAAAGGACCTGACTCCTTTAGTATCAGAGACCACAGAAATACTTATGTGGGTGGCCTGAGAACGAAGGAGAGATACAGGGCACTAATGTTAGTTTGGATAAAATATAAATCCTATGACTGTGTCAAAGACATAGAATTTGCTTTAAGATACGTATTTGGGTCTTAAGACCCAATGAGGGTCTTGAACAATGAGCTTGCAGTATAACCGGTGACCCCGTTGGGTGAAGCATTTTGATGGGTTGCTATAAAAGACAGGGGTCAATGGTAAAGGAAAAGATTTAGTTCCATGGTCAAAGGTTATGCGGGCCAACCTACTCTTATCTATCTGGTGTTGATAGTAACCCTGCTCTGCGGTGTACATGGAAAGCCTCTTGTTTGAAAGGGACTGAGGTCTCACCATATTTCCTCTGAAAACCATCTTCCTTCACCAAAGAGCTGACAATTGGAATATTAGCAGCATTATTTTCCCAAGGAGACACTAAATTCTCAAAAACTCATCTAGCCATGTGGTTCATTGGATTTATACCTTTTCATTTTTCTTCTTGTAAATTCAATGTTATCCTTGTCAGTAGATCTAATAGAATTTTTCCGTTTCCTGCCTCTCATACATTTTTAATTTCCATTTGGTAGGAGTTTTCTAAACTAAAAAATTTACCATATTCATTGTGCTAGTTTAAAAACTGATTGTAATCCCAAACATAAATTTATACTTTCAATGTAAAACATTTTAAATTAAATGCATCATCTTATATTATTGAAAAATCAGACCTTAAAATTGTTATCCACCGAAACAAACGTAAGATTGTTTGTTGTTTCAAAAACAAAGTAAATTTCTGAGTAGATGCAGACCTACGTATTAATGTCTTGTCTTAATTCAGTGTCTCATACAGTGTGTTTGAATTTGTTTTCAAAATCTACCTTTGTTTTAAATTTTAGTGACAAAATTGCCACTGCATCCTTTGATAAGACTTGTAAGCTATGGAGTGTAGACACGGGAAAATGTTACCATACCTTTAGAGGTCATACAGCAGAAATAGTGAGTATATTTATTTTGTTATATTTTTTATGTTGTTGTTTTCCTTCTTCTTCTTCTTCTTCTTCTTCTTCTTCTTCTTCTTCTTCTTCTTCTTCGCTTTTCTCTTTCTCTCTTTTTTAATAGACTTTATTTTTTACAGGAGTTTTATATTCACAACAAGACTGAGTGGAAGGTACAGAGATTTCCCATATATTCCCTCCCGTCCCCCCAAAACCAAACATGTCCCTTTATGAACATCCCCCACCAAAATGGTACCTTTGTTACAATTGATGGACCTATGTCAACACATCATTGCTATTTCTTTTTAGGAGTCCATTATATAAAAGTGGTGGTTCTACCTTCATGATTAATTTTATAATTCTATCCAGTATTTTTAGCTTACGTTTATTTCATATGGTGACATTTATGTAAATTACAAGCTATTCGAGTGTTTATATATTAAAGATGTCGTTCAATAACCTGCATCCTGCATTGACCAATTAGATGTGTAATATGATAAACATTTAAGTGCAATATCCAACCTGACTTCTTCTTTTTCATTGACTTGCTTTTGAAGGATTGACTTGATGGGGGTTGATAAAATTCTTAACATAGCTTTTAAAGTACCTTTAAAAAAAAATTATATATATATGTATATATATCACGGGAAATATTTAGGCTGATTGTTTCCCGGATATCATTAGAATTCAAATTTGCATAAATAGTTTGATACTCTAAATAGCTTTCACTATTGGGAGGCCTTGACCTTGGCCAATTCTGTGTTACAGCTTATAACAATTAGTGAGATAATTGGCACCCTATGGAACAAATGATAACTTTTAAAAATAAACAAGCTGCTTATTTTAGGAGTGAAATTTATTTATATTTATCCTTCAAACTCATGGTGTACTCATCCAACAAGGGCTCATGCTATGTTTAATACTTTGCTAGACACTGGGGGATAATGCAGCGAAAAACTATAACCGACTCGTTAATTGCGCTCAGTGTGCACAAAGCGCTGTCCTAAGACCTTCACATATATTAGCTTAGTTGCATCTCATAACAACCCTAAGGGCTAGATATTTCCCCCTTTTACAGTCCAAGATGCTGAGGCATAGAGTATGTCATTTACCCAAAGTTATAAAAAAGACATAATCCTCATTCTCACACTCCCTTGGAACTTTGAAAAAGTTTTTTTTTTTTTTATATATGGTTCCTAAGAAAATATTGATTTTTTCATAGTCAACAACATTAATCCAATAAATATTTACTAAATATTGGCTGCGTGTCAAGCCCTGGCCTACGTGTTTGGCATGCCAAATAGAATCACACATAGATCTTGTCCTGCAGGGATTATGTACTTTAGTAGAGGGAGTAGAGGCACCAATAAATAAGTTCAAAGATGCTTTGTGGGTGTGCTAGAAGTTCGTGGGGAGTTTAGTGTGGTCACAGAGGGGAGCACCCAGTAGGGGGGTGCTGAGGAGAGACTTTGCACGTGTACTCAGGACGAGGAAGCAGCACGCCCACAGGAGGTGTGCAACGGTGGTGGGTGCTTTTGAACTCGGGTGACTCTGTGTGGCCAGAGCAACGCTTCCCAGCCTCACCCTGGGGTGATATACACAGAATACGCCAACGTGGCCATGCAACGCACGGAGGGGAGTTGCCTTCTGCCCATGGGCAGGGGTGCTGGCTGAGGACCCCTTGTGCTGCCCAGCTGCCTGGATTCAAGGCACCTTATCTTGGCACCTGCAACCCGTTCAGAGCCACATCGCATGGTGAGCATGATTGAAGTGGCCCGTAGTTTTGATTCCTATGCTATACTAAGGAATTAGGGCTTCATCCTGCGGATGGTGCTGTGCTGTTGGGACTCTTAAGCTGGGGGATCGCGTGGTCACTTTGAGCCTTTGGGAAGATCATTCTTTTGGCAGTGTGCAGCGTGATCGGAGGTAGGGGCCAGTGGGGCATCTTGTTTCCAAGCAGAAATGACAGAGGCGTAGGCGGTGGAGGAGTAGGACTGGGTCAGCAAGTAGATGTGAGGCCTGAAGGAAAAAAGGGCCCCCAGAGAGATTCCCTCATTTCAGACAATGGCAGTGCCATTCACCAATTCTCTATATAGAAGGAAAAGCAGCTCTGTGCTCATATGACTCACGTGTCTTAGACTGATTGGTCCAAGCTGCCCGCGTGATGTCCATCGGAGGCCCTTTGGGCTTGAATTGAGTGGCAAAGTCTGGGCAGGAGACACGGATATGTGGGTGAGTCAGTGGTATTAGGGTGGCAGTGGGGACCACTGAGGAAGTGAAATTTCTGAAAGGAAAAGGGTCAGTGTGGGGAGAAGTGTGATGGCATCTTGAGCAGACGGAGAAGAGAAGAACTCTCCAAAAGATACAAAAAACAGATAGGAAGCAAAAGAAGAAAAGCAGAGCAGGGTCATGGCTGTCAAGAGGGAAGAAAATATGGAGAAGAAAGGGGTCAACACTGCAGATGTCAAGGAGGTTAAGTGGGATGACCGACAGAGCCATTGGATCGGCCCTTTAACCAAAGTGGTTCCGGCAGAGTTGAAGAGTGGGGGATGGGCAGTCAGGGATTTGGTGGTGAAAGGGAAAAAGTAGTCGAAAAGGGGGCACATAGAGTCAAGGGAGGGTTTGTTTTTATGTGGGAAAAGCCCAAGCACGTTTCTAGGCCACTAGGAGGGATCTAGTCCAGAAGGAGGGGAAAAAATCAGTGGGTACGTGGCTCCTAGGTATGTGGGCAAGAGGGTGTCTCAGAAGGGCGAAGGGATCCCTCTGCACCTGAGACGGACGGGAGGGAGGAGAGGCCCAGGTGAGGAAGTCCCCCACTCCCCATAGATGAGTTTTCTCAGGGAAATAGTAGGAGGCCAGGCTCTCTGTGGAGGAGGGGTGAAACAGACCGGGGACAAGAGTGGGGAAAGGGACAATGTACTGAGGCAGAGGCACGTTCACGTCGGGAAGGGTGCTGAGCACACAGCTGAGGACAGAAGGCATGAATGAGCAACGCCATAACCTGCTGTGCAGTTTTCTGAAGCTGAGTGGTGACGGAGGGCAAGTGAGTGAACGCAATGGCCGTTGCTACAGTTGGTGGGAGTCTTACCGATGGCGCAGTGGAAAGACAGGGAGTGAGGTATTGAGGATACTGGCAGGAGCCATGTTCTCAAGATGTCAGCTGAGTGGGGGATGAGGGGCCGGGAAAAAGCAGGGGTCTGAATGAGATGGAAAATGTCCTGGGGATGGCTTGGTGAGGAAGGAAGCGGAAGTCCTGGGAAATTGTAACTCGGGATTGATGTATTGGTAGTGAATTTTCTAGAGGAAGTGATGTCAAAGTCCAGGGTGTGGCCATGGGAGTGATTATGAAAGGGAGTGCAGGGTCATGGGTCTGGGGTACTGGACTGGTGCCTCACAGGAAGGCCGCGTAGGACTTGGACTTGAGACTAAAATCCAGTAGCCAAAGTCCTTGGTGAGTGAGGGGGAGGATTGAAAGGACTGTGAAGTTAACACCCCGGAAGCCGGAAGCCAGAAAACACAAATCTCATCTCGAAGGAGATGGGTTTGCTTTTGTTCGTGTTCTGTGGTCTGGAAGTGGGGAGGGGCGCCAGTGCCCCTGAAATCCTGAGCCGGGTGCCGTGGGAGAGCAGGAAGCTTCTTCCCAAGAGGAGGGTGCTTCGGGATCGAACCGGCACAAGGCAGGCCACCCGGATCTGATGTTTCACTGCGTGGTTTACAAAGAATTAGGCTGAATCCAAGGTGGTTGCGTCTCGAAGCTTTTCTATGCAAAATTGACAGCGTAAAACTCTTCTCTCTCTCTCAAATCTCTTCCACTTCCTGTAATTCAGGTGTGTTTGTCATTCAATCCTCAAAGCACCCTCGTGGCCACTGGCAGCATGGACACAACAGCCAAACTGTGGGACATTCAGAACGGAGAGGAAGCGCTCACTTTGACGGTACGTTCAAAATGCCGACAGCCTCCGGAGCCTTGCATTTTCATTCGCCGCCCTTTAGCACCGGCCTATCATTTGAGTTTGTTTCTATTTTTGTGTTTATTGCAAACTGACCTCTCGGGCTTTCAGACTCTGCAGTGAAAAGAGTGTCCCGGTTGGTTTGCTGGCTCTTCCAAACCATACCAACTGTGACTTAAAGCCACCGCCGTCTTCCTGGCTTAAAGCCAAGTAGGAGGAGGCTGGCACTTTCTGGAAGGGGCGGAAGTGGAGAACTTGCCAGAAGATTCCTTAAACGGATGACTGCTCGCTCCGTCCTCCACCACCCCCCACCCCCCCAGTCTTAGAAGCCTTCTGTGTTACAAAGTCTGAAATGACAAGGGGCCAGCGGAAGGAGGAGCAAGGCCACAGGGCACCGCCCATAGCCCCGGTGCTGCCTGTCCCCACAGGGGCCTCTGTCCACTGCCACCAGGCGTCCAGCACTTCCCTGCCGCCTCTGCTTCTCCCCACCGCAGCCCACACCCCCGTACAAAAATAGGGTGATTCTCTGTGCTGATCGGTGGGAACTGCTAGCTGGAAAACCCAAGTCTTATCCTTCCAAATTATAAATGGACATTAAACACAGGACCCCTCCCCAGGAGAGCTTTTTCCAAGAAAGTTACAAAATGGCCTGGAGAGAGAAAAAGCACCCTTTTTAACTAACGCAGAGGGATGCAGAGTGCCAGCCTTAATTAGCGTAAGCATCCTCTTTCGATCTTCGTTCTCATCCTGTCCGAGGGCGGCTGTCTCTGCATTACCTCCACTTTCAGACACATGCCTGACAGTCCTTGAAGGACGCATCTGTCCCTGCACACCTACACCTGCCTGCCGCCAGAGAACACGTTCGTTTCGTGTGTTCAGAATTGCCATGTTCAGCCGCATTTAGTTTTTTGCCATTCAGGACCAATCAGAAATTTGATTTGTAAATGAACCTTTCCGCTACTTAAAAAAGTAATATATGTTAATTTGCTACAATAATTAGAGAAACAAGGGAGACACTGCAGAGTAGAATCGGCTGCACAGAAGGGCTTCTTCGGATTGTCTCAGGACGTCTGATGCATCAACCGTAGACAGGGACCAGGTGAAAGTCAGGCCAAAGGCCAGATATTTATTAACCTATTTGATGTTAAGTCATCATGAGAATATCCTTTAATTTTTTTTTCAATGTTTATTTCTGAGAGATAGAGAGAGAGAGAATGAGTGAGGGAGGGGTAGAGAGAGAGGGAGACACAGAATCCCAAGCAGGCTCCAGGCTCCAAGCTGTCAGCACAGAACCTGATGTGGGGCTCAGACTCGTGAACTGCAAAATCACGACCTGAGTTGAAGTCAGACACTTAACCAACCGAGCCACCCTGGTGCCCCAAGAATATCCTTTTTTTTTTTTAACTTATTAACTTTATTTCACAAACTTGCCTATTGTTAATCCATAAAGTGCACAGCCCTTTTATTTTTTTTATAATCATTTTAAGTTTATTTTTTGAGAGAGAGAGAGAGAGAGACAGCATGTGTGTGTGTGTGTGTGTGTGTGTGTGTGTGTGTGTGTGTGCAAGAGAGCTTGAAGGAGAGGTAGAAAGGGAGGGAGACAGAGAATCCCAAGCAGGCTCCACACTGTCAGTGCAGAGCCCAACGCGGGGCTCGATTTCACACACCGTGAGATCATGACCTGAGCTGAGATCAAGAGTCAGATGCCTAACCCACTGAGCCACGCAGGCTCCCTGAATACAGCTCTTTTAAAAGTGTTTTTAAGACAATGTGAAAAAAGCCCTCTGATTTCCCAAATCATGCTCTCGCCCTGTCTATTCAAACAGAAACAAAAATTAAAAAAAAAATAGCTGTACTATGTAAAATTGACTTTATTTAAGTGTGTAAGTCAACTTTTAGAAAAATTTAGTCAAGTGCCACTTTCCCCAAACTCTAGTTTTCAAACATTTCCCCGGAAAGAAACCTGTGCCCATTTGCAATCTCTCCCTATTGCCACCCCCAGTCAACCACTAATCTTTTTTCCCCCTATAGAGTTTTGCCTTTTCTAGCATTTTCTTATCAACTAGGATATTGTGCATTTGTAGGGAGTGTTTTTCCACAGGTGTGCCTGACGGTATCCACTCTCTTTCTAGGGACATTCGGCTGAAATCATCTCTTTGTCCTTTAACACCTCGGGAGACAGAATCATCACAGGGTCTTTTGATCATACAGTTGCAGTGTGGGAAGCTGAAACTGGAAGGTATTCTCTGTCTTTGGGAATATTAAAATCTGGGGGGCGCCTGGGTGGCTCAGTCGGTTAAGAGTGCAACTTCGGCTCAGGTCACGATCTCATGGTTTGTGGGTTCGAGCCCCACATCAGGCTCTGAGCTGTCAGAGCCTGGAGCCTGCTTCGGATTCTGCCTCCCTCTCTGCCCTACCCCTGCTCATGCTCTCTCTCTCTCAAAAATAAAATAAGAAAACTTTAAAAAAAATTTAAAACCTAAATCAGAGGGTTAAGAAAATCTTTGCTGTTCATTAGTTTAATCTTATATCTATTAAGTGTGCTTTGGATTCTATAGGAATAGGACACACCACAAATAAATTAATTCATTATTTAATGTATTTCTGATCCATAAAACATGTGTATTTTCTTAGAATTCTGAGCAAATAATGCCACACAGCAACATACGAGGAGAATGTTAACAGTAGCCTGGGTGTATGGCTGTTACTTATTCTGTATACTATGTAATCAAATTTCAGTGGCTTGTCATTACGATAGGCATGGATATCAGGAGTAAATAAAATCATGGCTAATTTCCCCTACTTAATTTAGTCCACGAACTTCAATTTCCTTCCTAATTATTTTTGGTTCTAGTTGCTAAGATGTTAACTAAATTAGACTATTTGTTCTATAAAGCCCTACCTTGGACCTGTCTGCATCTTGGTAAGGGGGCTAATCATCAGGGGTAGCAATCAAGATGAGGAAGGGCCCTTCAGACACTCGAGGGGAAGTTTCTGAACTACCAGGGGGTCCGCTCATCCGGTGTAAGAGCGCTTCCAGAATTTCAGACCATCTTTATTATTTTTTACCCATGGCTTTCTGAGGTCTTGTCTTAAGTAATGTTGCCATCTTTGAGTGCTTAAAGTTTTGGTATATTTCTGCTGAAATGAAATGAGTAGCTTAGTTGACTCTTTTTGAGCTATAGTAAAGCCATCATTGTTTGGTCATCAAAGATGTTATTTTGTAAAAACCAAAGTTTAGATTCTTACACCCACAGGGGGCTAGACATCATTATTTGGGCATATATCCTGACGTGTGGCATCGTTCACCAGCATGCCTCCTTTCCATTCTGCAGGAAGGTGTATACCCTAGTTGGGCATTGTGCTGAGATTAGCAGTGCTTCATTCAACTGGGATTGCTCTCTGATATTAACCGGCTCTATGGACAAAACCTGCATGGTGAGCTCAAGAAACACCTTTGCTTTACAGTTCTTGTGTGCATGCTTTTACTGTGTCAGACATTCCCTGCAACATTAACAAATCTCAAAGGTACTGTAAAATTAAGATATTAATTTATAAATGATAGTTGGCATTAAAAAAATTTTTTAAATGTTTTATTTATTTTTGAGACAGAGAGAGACAGAGCAGGAGCAGGGGAGGGGCAGAGAGAGAGGGAGACACAGAATCCAAAGCAGGCTCCAGGCTGTGAGCTGTCAGTACAGAGCCCGACGTGGGGCTTGAACTCACAAACCGTGAGATCATGACCTGAGCTGAAGGCAGACACTTAACTGACTGAGCCACCCAGGCGCCCCCTTTTTAAAAAAATTTTTTAAATGTTTTATTTATTTTTGAGACAGAGAGGATAGTTGGCAGTTTTAAATGTTGTTTCTGATCTCCCGAATTTAAAGAAACTATGTAGTAAAACAATGTTAATTGAATCAGATCAAACAATGTTAATTATTACAAGATCTTTAAAAAAAAATAAAAGGCATGTTATTTTTCTTTATTCTCTCTGTTCATTTGTTGAACTTTGATTAGAGGCAGTCTCAATGAGGCTCAGCACAACATCTCCCTGCCTTTAACTTTCTTTTGCTAAGAACTTATGCTCTGGAATTATTATTTGATTACACATCCAATGTATTATAACCTTAGTACTTTTCATGTGCTGGCGTTACAGTTTTAGATCAAGCTCCTTATCATTTGATGACCTTCTTATGAAAAGAGGACACTGCCTCTCCAGTCAGCGAAGCAGGCGCTTTGAGATTTTTCCTACTATCGTGGCAGATTTGTACTACCCATCCTAAATGTCTGTCTCTGATCTTCTCCTCGTCCAAAGTGTGCCTTGTTAGTTGGTTGGCTGTGGTCTCTTGTCATGAATCCAGGTAGAATTAACAGAACATGTGAAAATGATACACATGATTTTGGCCCAGTTATTTAGCCAGCCGTGTGCATGTCGTCAGGACTACTACTTGCTGTTTTTGCACTTCAGACAGGAAGTTATCATAGTCATCTTTTTTTTTTTTTTTTTTTTTACTTGTAGCTGTGGGACGCTGCAAATGGAAAATATGTGGCAACATTAACAGGCCATGATGATGAAATACTAGACAGCTGTTTTGATTACACTGGAAAACTTATTGCTACTGCTTCAGCCGATGGTAGGTCATCGGTTCATATATTTAATTTATGGGGGGGGGGATTTATGCTTTGTCTGAGAAACGTGTAATTCTACACTATAGGTCATCTACCTGATGACCAGCTGTGGTACAAACCACATCTGCCTCATCTCTGTGATGTTGGTATCTATGTCCGTATCGTATTCTTGGTAACCATGTCACGATATCTGCGTCACCTCCTTGGCAACCACGTCTGGTGTTATACTCGGTCTTCACACCTCCTTGATGACTATGGATGGTGGTATATTCTGGATCATCTCCCTAATCCTGCATTATGCTCCACTGTGTTGACCTCATCAACTTGACCACCATCCACAGAGCTATAATAAGTCTGTATTATCTCCTGTATCCACACGTGCTGCTCCATTACGTATAGCGCACTTTTGTGATGAACACACATGATGCTGTGCTATACATCATCTTCTCCCTTACCATTGATGAGTCTACACTGTATCTGCATCATCTTATTGGTAACCGTGGACTGGTGGTAAACTGTGCGTACCTCAACTCATTGAAGACCACATATGATGCTACAATACATCTCTGTCATCTTCCTGTTGACGGTGCATATTATTATGCCCATCTCATCCCTCCAGGACACAATTTACAGGGTACGTCTACTCCAGCCCTGGGTCACCAAGTAAGACCCTACATTATACCATCATCCCCTCCTGATGGCCGTAAATGATAACACACCATACTCACATTTTCTTAAAAACCATGCACGATATTCCATTTCACTCCATCATCTCCTTGATTGCTGCCTAGGAGGTATCCTCTCCTTGATAACCATGTATGGTTACCATGAACTCACCTTGTTGACAAATAAATATGATGTTACACCATGTCTTTGACATGTCACTGAAAGCTGCATATCATGCTATGTGACATCTGTCCCCCCTCATTGACAAGCATTGGTATTACAACATTATGAATACACTCTGTCTTGGGTGGTAATTTATTATACTAAACAACAGGTCGCCCTCATAACTATGTATTCCTGACAAGCATGTAAGAGACTCCACGACTTCCACATCATTTGCTGGCAACCCTGTCATTATGTCCACATCACGTCCTTGACAGCTGCATGCAATGACACATCTGCACCATCTCCTTGGCCAGCATACGTGACGCTATACTAAGTCTATGTCATCTCATGACATCACACAACCATGTGTGATGCTCTTCTTTGAGTCATCACTCTGATAATAAAGTATGATGCTATACTGTGTCATCTTCCTGAAGACTGCAGGTAATGCTACCCCACACCTGTGTTATCCAGCTGATGACCACATATGCAGCTGCACCACGTGTGCATAATTCTTTAAATAGCCACCTACGATGCTACATTGTGTCCGCACCATAGACCCGAGGATTACGTTTTAAGTTACACCATGACTTTGTTATCATTTAAAGACCACACTGGATGCTGCACTCTTATCTGCCTCATCTCCTTGGCAAGCTGGTGTGGTGCTATCCAAAGTCTACCTAATCTCCTGGGTAACCATATGCAATGCTATTCCATGAGAGACCTCACCTTGGTAGCCAAGTATGATGCTGAACTGTCATCTCCCTGGAGACCAAATGTGATGCTACACTGTGTCTATATCATCTACCTGATGACCATGAAGGGAGCCACCTAAGTCCACATTATCCCTCTAATGACCACATATGATGCTATCTTGTGTCTATATCATATACCCGACTGCTATGTTTTAATTTACAGTCCTTGTCATTCTCTTTAAAATCTTGTATGATACTACACTATACCTTCATCTAATCACTTATAACCATGTATGATCCTCTGTCATATCTTCACCACTTCCTAGAAATTTATGTGCGACGCTGTAATATTTCTACCTCATCACCTCGGCAAACACATCTTCAAGGTCCGCTATGTCTGCTTCACCTCATTTACAAAACTACATGATTCCACATCATGTCTGGATTGTGTTTTTGAAATCTCCTCAGGCTATACCTTTGGTGTCATCTTGAGTGCTACGTGTGATGCCCTAGTGCCTGTCATCTCAATGGTAGGCTCGTATAACGTTAATCTGTGTCAACAATTAATAACGTTATTTGATGCTTAAGTGCTCGCTACCCTCCATTAATGATGGTACACTCTGATTGCATCATCTCCCTGGCAACCATATATAATGCTACACTGTGTGTCATACCCTGATAATTACCTCATCTCCCTGACAATCAAGTAAGGTGTAGTGCTATTTCTGTGTTATCTCCTAAAACACATGTATGATGCTATACTATGTCTGTCTCATGTTCTTCCTAGCAACATATAAAGCTATATCATTTTCTTGATAATCATGTATAATGTCTATGCTAGGAGAGATTCCTTGATGACCATGCATGATGCTACATGATATATGCACCATATCCTAGAAAACCATGCTACATTATGTGAAACCCCCGTACAAGTATGTGTCATGCTCTACGATTACTACATCACCCCTTTAACAACCCTGCACCATGCGACTAAACTATTTCTGTATTATGTCCGTGATAATCATGTATGACGCCACACTATGTCTGTGTCGTTTGGAAAACAGGATATGGTGATGCATTATTTCTGTGTTACTTTTCTGTCTAGTATTTGTGATGTTGAAATATATGTGTCTTGTATTCCTGATCAACACCTATGACATTACAATATGTCTGTGGTGAGCCTATTGTATCCACATATGACACAAATTGTGTCTATATCGTCCCTCTGATGACCACATACGACACTGCACTGTGTGTCCTCTCCCTGATAATGTACGACACCATGCCACATTTGCATCATTTCCCTGACAGCCAGGGTGATGCTACACCATTTCTGGTCATCTCCTTGACGACCACGTACGAAGCCATGCTGTGTCTCATCATGTCTTGGCCAGCGAATGAAGCTATAGACTCTGTTTGCATATTTCTTAACAGTCATGCATGATGCTCTATTATAAGGAATCTCCTGACAATCACGTATGGTGCTGTGAGATATCTGTGTCATCTTGCCCACCGCGCACGACCCTGCACTGTCTGTGGCCAGCCCACGTGATGGCATCCTGTAACTGCATTACCTCTGTGATAACTGTATTCGTTTGCCAGGGTTGCCATCACAGAGTACAACAGACTGAGTGGCTTAAAATACAGACATTTCTCTTCTCACAATTCTGGAAGCTACAGGTTCAAGATCAAGGTGCTGGCAGCGTTGGTTTCTTCTGAGGCCTGCAGATGGCAGTTTTCTCCCTGTGTCTTCATGGTCTTCCCTTTGCACGTGTCTGTGTCCTAATCTCTTTTTCTTACAAGGGCACCGGCTATATTGGGTTAGGGCACACTCTAAGGACCTCATGTTAATCTCATTTCTTCTTTAAAGACCCAATCTTGGGGCACCTGGGTGCCTCAGTTGGTTAAACGTCCGACTTCGGCTAAGGTCACGATCTCGCGGTTGGTGGGTTTGAGCCCCGAGTCAGGCTCTGTGTTGACAGTTCAGAGCCTGGAGCCTGCTTCAGATTCTGTGTGTCCCTCTCTCTCTCCCCCTCCCCGGCTCGTACTTTGTCTGTCTCTCTCTTAAAAATAAACAAACATTTAAAAATTAAAAAGAAATAAAATAAAAAGACCCAATCTCCAAGTAAGTCAACTTCTGAGGCACGGTGGGTTGGAAATTCAACATATGAGTTTTGTGGGGACCGCAGTTTGGCCCAATAACAGCATGTGCGACATACAGCATGTTTGTGTCTTCTGCCTGAAGACTTCTCTTCTTGCAAATCCCACGGTATGACATGTCTGTATCGTGTCTTTGCTAATCATGCTACACTCTGTCTGTATCACCTTTTAACCTACTGTATACGATGCTACATTGTGACTTCCCCACCTCCCGAGAGCCATGGATGATGCTATACCAGGGATAAACTCCCTGAAGATGGTGAATGACTCTTCTTGACGTCTGCATCATATCCTTGACAAAAACATGAGATGCCACACTCTGGATCATATCTTAAGTATGTGTCATGGTGTGCGATTACTCCAGAATGTTTCAATACATACATAATGCTCTGCCATTATTCAGGTCTTTGACAACCTCGTAAGGGTATATGCTGTATATCCTATACTGTGTTTATATCATCTCCTTGATAACCATGGGGAGCGCTATGCTATTTTGCAGCATCTCCTAGACAGCTAAGTGTGATGCTAAGTGTGACAGTATGTGTCATGTCCATGATGACCACCATGTATGATGCTCCAATATATCTTGCCACCTGTTGATGACCCCATATGTTGCTACGCTGTGTGTTTTAATCTCTTTGGACAAGCATACATCATGCTATACTATGTCTGCCTCGTCTCTGTGATGGCCACATAAGACACTATGTCTGTGTCATGCTCCCATGAATGCGTATCATGCTGTGCTATGATTGTGTCATCACCATGTCAACACGCATAAGCCTCCACTGTGTCTAAGGCATCTCTTTGATATTCACATATGATGTTTTATCATGTCCAATTCCTTCGTGACTCCAGGGGACTCTACATCATGTCCATGTAAACTTCTTAACAGCCATTTCAGGAATTCTAGCAAAGATGGAAGGCTTTTGGGGGGGGGGGCGTGATTTGTTCTTAGTTTTCCTGCATTTGCTCCTTGTGGCTAACATACTGTTAAGCAGTCGCGTATCTTTTGTGTTACAATGACTTGTAGAGTTTTGCCAGTGATTCATTTTAATTACACAGTCTTTATTCCACCTGTGTCTCCTTTTTAAAAATTACATTTGCATGCTTATTCTTTTCCTCACTAGGACTTTTCCAAGGTGATCCTTTGATCATACATAAAGTTCTTTCGATGCTCTGGAATTATAAACATCTTGAATTTGAGAGTTCTACTTTTTCACAGTAACCACTTACTTTTTCATCTTATCGCAGAGCTTGGCTTTTTAAAAATCATCCCTTAACTGTAATTAATCTACCCTTTTCATTTTAAATATCATTCTCACTTCTACAAAAAAATCCATTCGACACAAGTAGAGAGGGTACCTACTTTGTGCCAGGAATTGTTTTAGGAGCATGGGATAGATCGATGAGCGGAAGAGAGAGGAATCCCTTCCCTCATGGAGCTGTACTGTGGAGGGGGAGACAAGGAAGAATACCATGCACATGTTTTACATAGAATGTGAGGACATAGAGAACGTTAGATTATAAAGAATGTTAAATTATAGAGAATGGCAGATTAGGAAGCATGTTAGGACTTTGTCAGCACTAGGGGGGCAGAAACAAGCCAGGTCTGGAGATCAGGATGCCGAGGGATGGGTAAGAATGAACTGCACGTTCAATTCTTCTCCTTTTGTTTTCTCTACCATCTGTTAAGCCCCCCTAGCAGTGATTCCATTCTTTCCCTGTTCAACAAGACGTTGCTTCAAAAAAAAAAATCTTCTTCTCTTTTGGCGTGTCTTGTGAGCCTCTTCCCATTGTGTACCTTCTAAGAAGTCTTGATGCTTAGGATATCTTGTTTACTTGATCTCTGGTTCTTGCCCCACACCCCCTTCTTAAAATTGGACCCATTCAACTGGGTTAGTTACCTGCGCAGCTACATCTGTGTGTATATATATCACCTTTTTCTTCCTCATTGGAATCGTTCCCAAGACTGAATTATTTTTTGGTGTCCTATTCATATTTCTGTCTTTTTAAAATCATAGCTTCAGACTATATTATTTCTGTCTTGCCTGGGTTTAAAATGCTTCTGAGAAATTTCGAGAATGACTCTATGTAGAATATTCACTTTTGTCGTATTAACACATTCTTAAAACACGTTGGTCACTTGAAGATTTTTGGAATGTCCAAGTAGCAAGTTTTATATTTTTAGTCATATTGATTGTACAATAGCACTTTTCATCTACTCCTTCCTGAAGTTGACATTGTCAGAAGGGCAAGTACAAAATTTACTAAGATATTTTGTTCTTCTTTGAATGAAAATTAAGTGACCAAAATTCATTATCTTTGGTAATTTTGCCTCTATCTAATGTTTTTTTTTAAATTTTTTTTAACATTTATTTATTTTTGAGACAGAGAGAGACAGAGCATGAACGGGAGAGGGTTAGAGAGAGGGAGACACAGAATCTGAAACAGGCTCCAGGCTCTGAGCTGTCAGCACAGAGCCCGACGTGGGGCTCGAACTCACGAACCGTGAAATCATGACCTGAGCCAAAGTCGGCCGCTTAACCAACTAGATAGATAGGCGCCCCTCTATCTAATGTTTTAATTGCACTAATTTTGCCTCTGTGTAAAGTTATAATTGCAATAAGAGAGCAGCCTTCACCTGGCTAGATAAATTTTAACTTTTTTCTGATAATTTTACTACTGCTGTTTTTCTCCTTCTACCCTTGTTTGACTCCTCCACTCCTTAATTCTAAAGAAATGTATATACCTCTCCCTCCTCCCTCCCCCCTTCCTTCCTTCCTTCCTTCCTTCCTTCCTTCCACCCACTCATCCATCCATTCACCCACCCATCTATCCATCCATCCACCCACCTATCCTGTATCCACTTAATGGGTGTCTACTGGGAGCTTGGCACTTCTGGGCACTGGAGAACATCTGGGAACAAACCATTCTACTAGCTCTTTCTGAAGAAAGGCATCCCTAATGCCTATTCTTTGCCCAGCAAGTAGTGGCTGTCGTTCCTTTTCAAGAAGGCCTCCTGAACCTTCTGTGCCCTTACACGCTTTTTGGTGTGTGGTGCTGGTCTGGTGGCTTATTTCATCCCCAACTTCTCAAAACTTGTTTTGATTCTCCCCTTTCTCTTTAAGATCTTCTTTTTGGATTCCTTCCCCACCTTTTCGACCTTGGAACCCATTGTTTCTTCTAGTAAAGTCAGGGCTATAGACGCACCCTCTTCCCCCTCTTCTCCCGCGGTGGCACCAGCTTGCACGGACAGTTTCAGGTGGTGGCCCTCGCCGCAGGAAGGGAGACAAACACACAGAGCCTGTATGTCAGAAGAATAGATATTTACATAATTCAAAGCACATGGTTCAAAGTTCTGTATTGCACATGAATTCATATGTATCTCCACTCTTTCAAAAAGGAACGGCAAGGGTTTTCAGTGCAGCCACAAGGAAATGCATTGCCAGATTGGAGGGCCACGAAGGTGAAATTTCAAAGGTGAGTTGCATTCTCATCTGGAGCAGTTTCTTTAGTTAAAAAGAATCGAATGGATAGTGGTCTGTTGGCACTAGGGTTTGCCCAATTATCCTACTCTTTCTAGAAATCATAAAAACGATATTTTTAAGTGTGACCTCAAACTCAGCGTAATAAATGATTCCTAAAATCTTTAAGACAGTTTAAGACAGTATTTTTTTCTCAGCCATCAGCAAAAGATCGAGTTAGCGGAAGATACTTATTAAAGCCATTTAAGAAACTTGTGAAGTACTTTTCTCGGTCTTGGCTGACACACAAATGTATATTATGCAGAATAACATGTTGTTCAGCAACTATCAAGTGTGCTGTGAATTCAGTGCAATTGAGAAAGTGTGTCCGGGAAATATTTAATACTTCACAGTTTAAATTTTTTTAAATGTTTATTTATTTTTGAGCGAGAGAGACAGAGCGTGAGGTGGGGAGGGGCAGAGAGAGAGGGAGACACAGAATCCGAAGCAGGCTCCAGGCTCTGAGCTGTCAGCAGAGAGCCTGACGCGGGGCTCGAACCCATAGACTGCGAGATCATGACCTGAGCCAAAGTCAGATGCTTAACTGACTGAGCCACCCAGGTGCCCCAATACTTAGTAGAGTTTAAAATGACCTATTTTGAAACTTCAGAGCTGTAGCTTAGGATTTTGTATAAGCTTCACCCATATGTGATTCACAGAGCAGAGACTTCCAATCAGTGATCTGAAGTTTAGCCATGTCCTGTGACAATTTTGGAAAGATCTGGACATGGGGACCCTCCACTCCCACCCAGTTCAGCCCAGTTCTTTGGTCTTGTACCTGAGATCAGATTTGCTCCTTCCTTTTAAAGTATAATTTTGATGGCTTCAGGTCCTGGAAGGCTGCCCCTAGACCCTGGAACTGTCCCTGTGGTGCTCCCCACCAACCCACGCCCCCCTCCTCCCATACCTGCTGCTGGTGGCCCGGAGCTCAGGAGCTCCTGTCTTTCAGGGTTGGTCTCTAAGGCCACGCAGAGCACATCTTCTCCATAGGCTGGGATGGGCAGGAAGGGAGAGAGGGAAGTGTGGATGTGGGAGACAGCCTGGAAAGAGAGCCCAGACTGTGTTTCTGAGTGGCTGGTCTAATAACTTGACATGCATGATGTGTCCTACTCAACAAGTGCACATGTTTTTGTGTATGTGTGAAAATGAAGAGTTCTCAAACTCTGTATTATTGCATTTTAGGCTTATATATTTTAAGAGAGAGAGAAATAGAGAGAGCACAAATGGGGGAGGAACAGAGAGAGGGGAAGAGAGAGAGAGAGAGAGAGAGAGAGAGAGAGAAACCCAAGTAGGCTCCACATTGTCAGCATGTAGCCCCATGTGGGCTCAAACTTACAAACAGTGAGATCATGACCTGAACTGTAATCAAGAGTCCAATGCTTAACCAACTGAGCCACCCAGGCACCCCTCAGCAAATGCTTTTTGATAGCTTCCACTATGCTAGGCGTTGTACTGGGGACATAAGGACAAAAAAAAAAAAAAAAAAAAAAAAAAAAAAAAAAGCCATGGCCTTGAGCCTTTCCCTCATCAAATTTTTAGTCCTAGAGGATGTGACCCAAATCATTGTGTTATGATGATTTAGAGAGGCTTAGAAGCATGGTGCCCAAAGGAATAGTGAACTGACCATTTCCTTTGACAGCTGCTCAGATACGTTTGACAACACTTCGCACATAGGAGGCACTAAGCACAGGTTTATGCAATGTGCTTTGCTTTGAGTGGCAGTAGAATGAAAGTCCCTGCCTGTAGGCACGACATTCACTCATTCTGTGGCCAGGTTGAAGGAGGATCTGTATGCTTTTGCTTACAGAAAGTTGGGTTACGGGGATGACCTGGGGGGTTGGATTTGAAGGAGCCTGACTTGTGTCCTCATCCACACCAGGGCTCTCTTGGTTTGCCTGGAAAGACTTTGGAAAGAGGCTAGGTGGGGAATACTCAAATTAGAAGAGAGCTTCGGTCTTTATCCTTAGAGTTGTTGTGTGTGGTGGTGGTGGTGGGGGGTGTAGCCAGTTAATTTCTTCTGTCTAGAAGAATTATTATGTGTTAATAATAATCATGTATTAATCCCCGCAATATTTTTTCCCATCAGGAAGGAACTATTCTATGTAAGAATAAATGCCAGGCTAGGAAGATGACAGGTGCTTAGTAATGTCCTCTTTTTGCTGGTGAAAAATATGTCGGGAATCATATTACACAAACCTGTGATCCTTTTTCCTTTCTGTCGTGTAGATTTCTTTCAACCCCCAAGGGAATCGTCTTCTAACGGGCAGCGCTGATAAAACAGCGAGAATCTGGGATGCTCAGACTGGTCAGTGCCTCCAGGTTCTTGAGGGGCACACTGATGAGATCTTTTCATGTGCTTTCAACTATAAAGGCAACATAATCATTACAGGTACGGGAAAGAGAAACACATCTGGGTGTTCAAGTTCACTGTTTTTCCATTTGATGGCATCGTTTGAGGGGAGGGCAGAGAGGATAAGCAGAGGGGATGCCTGGGGTGGCTCCATTCTCGTCTTGGCCAATTCTGAGATGCTGTGAATTTCGCTCCTGTGAGTAGGACACAGACTTGCCCAATTTGTGACTGCCAGGAATCATTAAAAAAATTTTTTTTCGCTCCCCAAATGCCCGAGCTGCTCAAAGACTCCACGACTGGACACATTGAGTGTATTGATGATTGTCAACGACCCGGAAGATGTTAATTTGTAAAAAGAGAGAGTTAGTGAATAAAATAAAGGAAAAATAACTTTGTGCAATTTGTTTCGTTAGGTAGCAAGGATAATACCTGTAGGATATGGCGTTGACGGAAGAGAGCCGGCTGATGAGCGGATTTGCTAGCGATGGAGGTGAAGGTAGAGCTTCACAGTTGTCAAGCAAGCTATTTTCATGTTTCACATCTTCTCTTTTTCCACAAGTCAACTACATGCTGTTGTTAGCTTTGCAGATATGACTGTTAAAACTAATAAACTTATATCACGTCTTCATAGTATTTGATGGAAATAATAGGAGAGACCACAATGTGGGGCCAATGTCACTGGTGATTGCATCTTTGTTTTTATTTTTAGTAGCATCATGATAGTGATAAAGGAAATCAGAGTGATTTCACAGTGTGTCTCAGATTCTCCTTTGAAAGCTCTTATAAAATCTGTTGAATAAAGGTTTTGGAAGCAGTTGTGAGTGAATTACCCATCTACATGTATGATGTATGTGTCTCTTGTGATGAGAACTTTAAAGATCTACTGTCTTAGCAACTTTTTAAAAACATTTTTTAACGTTTATTTTTGAGAGAGCGAGAGAGACAGAAAATGAGTGGGGGAGGGGCAGAGAGAGAGGGAGACACAGAATCCGAAGCAGGCCCCAGGCCCCGAGCTGTCAGCCCAGAGACAGACGTGGGGCTCGAACTCACAGACCGTGAGATCATGACCTGAGCTGAAGTCGGATGCTTAACTGACTGAGCCACCCAGGTGTCCCTGTCTTAGGAACTTTCAAATATACGATACAGTATTATTGACTGTTGTCACCATGTTGTATATTACACGTTCAGGGGTTATTTATTTTTAACTGGAAGTTTGTACCTTTTGACAGCCTTTACCAATTTTGCCCACTCCCCAACGCCCTGCATTGGTATGAAGGCATAAACCACCAATCTGTTCTCTGTGTCTATGAGCTCAGTGGTTTTTTGTTTGTTTGTTCGTTTGTTTTCTGTTTTGGTTTTCTTTTAAGGTCCCACATAGAGTGAGATCATATGATATTTGTCTTGCTCTGTCTGACTTATTTCACTTAGCGAAATGCCCTCAAGGTCTGTCTATATTGTTGCAAATGACAAGACTTCCTTCTTTTCTATGGCTGAGTACTATACCATTGTATTTATGGACCACGTTTTTTAGTCTATTCATCCAGCGATGGACGCTGAGGTTGTTTCCATATCTTGGTTATTGTAAGTAATGTTGCAGGGAACATGGGGGTGCATAGATCTTTTCCAGTTAGTGTTTTCATTTGCTTCAGGAAATACCCAGAAGTGGAATCACTGAATCATATGGTTCTATTTTTAATTTTTTGAGGAAAGTCCATCCTGCACCGTGGCTGCACCAGTTTGCATTCCCACGTTTTTAGGAGGACATGTATGTTTGCAAATTGACTAGAAGTTTTATTACTTATTTTGTGATTTCACTTTGTGCAGCTAGGAACGAGAGGCAAAATTGGAAGGGAAACTTAATCTTCCCTCATATTCAAAAGTGTATCTATGCCTCCTCCCCCCAGAAAAGAAGTTGCCAACCTACACTGATAAAATTAAGGTCGCATATAAGGAAGGCAAAATGGATATCACTTAACAGAAAATATGAATCGAGTTCATAGTGGATGTAAAATATATGGGCAGGTTTTTCTTCAAAAGAAATGTTAAACAGGATAGACATTCAGATGAATGAATTAAAAAATCTGGATGGAAAGCAACTGGGATACCAGGAAAATTCATCAAACACCAACCTGATTACTGCTGAAATACTGAAAGCTATTTTTTTAAAAGGTTTTTCTATGTAAACGTGCCTTAATGCGTATTAAAAGTTACTGTTAAAAGATAAAGCACACTTGGGGCGCCTGGGTGGCGCAGTCGGTTAAGCATCCGACTTCAGCCAGGTCACGATCTCGCGGTCCGTGAGTTCGAGCCCCGCGTCAGGCTCTGGGCTGATGGCTCGGAGCCTGGAGCCTGTTTCCGATTCTGTGTCTCCCTCTCTCTCTGCCCCTCCCCCGTTCATGCTCTGTCTCTCTCTGTCCCAAAAATAAATTAAAAAACGTTGAAAAAAAATTAAAAAAAAAAAAAAGATAAAGCACAAGTTAGAACCACTGATGCTTGAATCCGGAGCAGGAGAACACACATGAGAGTCTCATGGAGTCATTTTCTTAATAATAACAAGAGTGGTCAGTGTGGCTGAGGGTGTCGCCCGCCAGACACTGCCCACCCACCTCACACATCATCCCTGCAACCCTCCAGCCAACCGTTTCCGAGAAGGTGACGGTCCTGATCTGAAAATGAGGAAGGTGAGTCACACTCAAGTTAGATAATCTACCAAAGACATCGCGTCCATTATACTCCGTGCTTAAATGAACACTTATGGGAGAAGAGTATCAGACGTATCTGTGGGAAGGTTTGGGCTGAGAATTACCCCTCAGATCATCTATGGATGTTCAGAACCCAAGAAGAAAAATAAAACAAAAGCAGAACAATATAAACAAAAACTTCAGCTGCTGGAAGCAGGACCTTCAGAGATGGTGAAGCCAAGGAGAGCTCGGATTAGAAAAACCTGGGCCAAAACTTAGCTACTTCTTACGAACCCAGGAAGAAGAAGCTGCCATTGGCTCTTCCTCTGACTCTGATGGCTTTAGGGAAAGTCGCAATACTGTTTTGTTACGTCATTCAATAGAGAGAGCCATTGTATAGTCATGGAGATCATTCTACGTCTCACTGACCTATTTAGCTGTAGGAAGCCCTTGGTCAGAAAAGGCTCCTCTAATTTTTATGTGTTGAGGCAATCTTACTTCATAGAATATTTATTAAGGTTTCCAGTAGTATTTTTTATTATCGAAGTATAGTTGGCATACAATGTGGTGTTACTTTGAGATGAACAACATAGCGATTCCACAATTCTATACATTCCTCAGTGCTCACCTCCAGAAGTGTCGTCACTGGCTGTCAATCGTATTTACTATATTCCTTATGCTGTCCTTTTCATCTCTGTGACTTATTTAATAACTGGAAGTTTTACTTCTTCCAGCAGTATTTTTAAAACTACTTAAAAAAAATGTTTGGACACTGATGATCATAAGAGAAGTGATAATATACTCACTTAATTTTCATCTGGAGTGTTGTAGAGAGGAAGTGAAGTGTGTGTGGAGTCTGGAGTCAAATTGCCTGGACGTATGTTCTTCCTCTTTTTTAATGTTTATTTATTTATTTTGAGGGGCGAGGGGCAGAGAGAGAGGGGAGAGACAGAATCCCAAGCAGGCTCCACACTCAGTGTGGAGCCGGACGCAGGGCTCAATCTCACAACCATGAGATCATGACCTGAGCCAAAGTCAAGAGTTGGACGCTCAACCAACCGAGCCACCCAGGCGCCCCTGCCTGGACATACATACTCTGATTTCAACTTTGAATTGTTGGACCATTACCCCCACCACGCTGCCTCAGTTTCCTCAGACAATGGTGATAATAATCATTCTTGTTTTGAGGATTGGGAATATCTGGCAAGCATGATGAATATTTTCTATTATTCTTATAAACAGTGACTTAGCAGTCACCTTAAAAAAAGTATCTTTGATACATGAGCGTATTTCTCAGGAAAGAACATAGCATTATTTACTCAGAAGTGATAGTTGAAACATAACTCACTTTAATGTATTATAGGTATCCTGGGGAGAAATAGAACTCAAATTTTTATCAATTAAAATTTAAGAGCCCTGGGATCATTGTCCTTTTAAGATTTCTCTCTTGGACAGAAGCGCTGAGATGTGAGGTGATCATCAGTATAAATGATTAATGTCTAACCCATCTTGATATATTCAGATTTAATATAGGATTTTAGGAAAGTGAATCATTCTCATAAAAATGAAATCTCTTTTCTAACAACTCCTGTCTAAAACTGCAGTAGCTCATGGTTTAGCATAATGCCTGATTTAGAGACAAAATAAATGCTTTTTGAACTATAAACACTGCTTTTTATACGCCCAACTTTTACACAGTGATTTAAAAACACATCCATAATCTTTCAAATTATAAGTGGCTTATCTCCTGTCTCCCCACAGCTGTGGTTATTTTTCAAACAATTTACCTTGGTGGGTCTCCAAGGGGAGGAGACCCCTCCAAGGGGGGGAATTTGTAATGACAAGAAAAAGCAATTACTATAATTAAAGACATGTTCCTTCTCAAACACAAAGAATTGTAAAAACTGGCTCAAAATTTCTATAATCTTTTTAGTTATCTTACCAAGATTATTTCATTTTTTTGTTCAACTTCACGGTTATCTTGATTAGGATGATTTTGGTGGCAAGTAGCAAAAGGCACAATTAAAACAAAGTCATTTCCAAAGTTGGTTGTTTAAAAAATTTTTAATGTTCTCTGTCAAAAATAAATAAATAAACATTTTAAAAAAATTAAAAAAAGAGGGGGTGCCTGTGTGGCTCAGTCAGTTGAGGGTCCGACTTTGGCTCAGGTCATGATCTCACAGTCTGTGAGTTCGAGCCCCACGTTGGGCTCTGTGCTGACAGCTCGGGGCTGGAGCCTACTTCCGATTCTGTGTCCCCCTCTCTCTCTGCCCCTCCCCTGCTCATGCTCTGTCTCTCTGTCTCTCTGTCTCTCTGTCTCTCTCTCTCTGTCAAAAATAAACATTTAAAAAATGTTTTTTAATTTTAATGTTTATTTATTTTTGAGAGAGAGACAGACAGACAGACAGAGCATAAGTGTGGGAGGGGCAGAGAGAGAGAGAGGGAGACACAGAATCTGAAGTAGGCTCCAGGCTCTGAGCTGTCAGCACAGAGCCGGAGGCGGGGCTTGAACCCTTGAGCCATGAGATCATGCCCTGAGCTGAAGTCAGATGCTTACCTGACTGAGCCACCCAGGTGCACCCCCCCCAAATTGGTTATTTAGTGGCAAGAGGACCCAAGGACCCAGGGTTTGAGGGCTTTCCCTTTTGTTTCCTATTGTTGACTTGTCCTGTGTATCCTTCCTTGTTGCTAGATGCCTGACATGTTTTCTTGGTTTAGGTGTCTTGCCATCTTTTTAATCTCATCAACTCCAGAAAGAGAACTTCTTACTTCCTTTTCTATGATTTTCATTTGCCCTAACATCTTAGCAGTTCTATTTCTGCCACTGACGGAACCATCCTGCCTTTTTTCTCTTTATTTTCTCTATCTGCCCACCATATCATAAACACTTGCCTCAATTAAAAAAAACAAAAACAATTTTAGCTATCCAGTCTTAGTGCCATTTTTAGCTGTAATATGTAATCTCATTACCTCTGTACTAGAAACTGAGACAATCTTCTAGTTAATTATCTTGGCTTCTTTTTGCTCTATCAGATGATTGCTTTCTAAAATGAACAGAAAAAATAATCCTCCAAATATTTATATGTTTTACAGTTTACAAGACTTTTACATAACTCAGTTCATTCGATAAAGA